AATTTCTTCTGTTTCCAAATTAAGTCTATAAAACTGCTTATAAAGTCCTCTTAACTTTTTAATATGTGAGATCTCTAGCAAAACCTTCTATTTCATTCTGATATTTTACCTTGTGTCTTCTTTTTTTATTAGGATGGTATAACTAGGGGTCTATTAATTTTATTAGACTATTTGAAGAATCACTTTTTTGCTTTATTAATTTTCTTTATTCTCATCTTTTATTTCCTCCTATGTTCTTTGTTTAACTTGCTGTTCTTTTCTAACTTCACAAAATAGACATGGAGTAGTTTTTGCTTTTCTTCTTTTTTTACATGTATAATAGAGGCTAGAAATTTTCCTCAAAGCATAGTCTTACCTTAATCTCACAAGCTTTTAACTGTTCATTTTCATTCACTTCATTTTTTCTAATTTTCACTGTGATGCTTTCTCTGACTCAATGAATTATTTAAAAGTACTTTGCAAAATTCCAAAAATTTGGAAATTATATAGTTATATTTGTGTAATTGATTTCTAACTTAATCCCACTGTAAACAGTGACAAACAGAATCATCTCAATCACCTGAAATTTGTTGAGACATAACTAATGGCCAGTATGTTCCAATTTTGTTAAATGTTCCATGTATACCTAAATATGTATTTGAACTTACAAAGGAAGCTTGTATCAAAACTGGCTTCTTCCTGCCAGAAACAACTATAAAAGTTCGACAAAATATAAAAATGAACTGTTTAACAGCACTGGAAAGCAACCAACAGGGCAAGTTTTTCAAGGAACTATAATTCCTGAGAAAAGGGAAGGACAACAACTTTGGATCCACATTCACCCTAGCATTTTCCCCAAAGACATTTGAAATTCAGAGTTTGGGGTAAGTTGAGTCCTAACAGAAACCAGCATAACCAAACAGATGAAGTTCAGGGACTCTAAAGCAACTAGAACTTCAGGGACAAAAATCTCTAGGGGAACGGGAGAGGACTGTAGACAAATGAGCCAAAAAATCTGCATTCAATCTCCCCTTAAGAAGTCTGACAACTGCTAAGCTTTGCATATACAGGGCAAGACTCCAAGAAACCTAGCAGAAAGCAGCAGCTGGGAAGCTAATGAGCTAAACAGATATTGTAGCAACTGTACTGTGCTGAAAAAAAAAAATGCTGATATTCAGGAATGTAGCCTTGGCAAAAAACCCGACTTTTCATTTAAGACTCCAAAATGAATAAGAAGAAAATAAGACACATCAACCTTAATAAAACTGCAAACCAAACCTTGAGAGGACTGGGGTGATCTGTTTGTTCTCTATCATCTGGCCAGACCCCCCCAAAAAAAAATCCTTTTAAGAGAAGGCTCTATAATCTTTAACACACAGTATTAAGATTGTAAGGCATGCCAACAAAAAAAAGAAAAGATCTCCAAAAGAATGTTTTTAATATAAACCCAGAGATAATTAAGATATTTTATTTTTCAGGCATAAATGTTTTAAAAGAACTATGATAAACTGGGCTCGGTGGCTCAGCCTGTAATATCGCGCCTTTGGGAGGCTGAGTTGAGTGGATTG